ACAAATTTAAGACAGATGACCACTGCCCAGCAACTCTGAAGGCTGAAGTTGGAGGAGTTCAAGGCTAGCCTGGGCAACTTAATGAGACCACTCAAAATTAAAAATACAAAGGGTCTGGGGGATACAGCTCAGTGGTAGAGCACCCCTGGGTTCTATCTCCAGGACTACAAAAAATAAAAGTAAAAAATAAAAAAGATGACCACTTGTGAGGTGCCCACTTGCCTATGTAGGTTAAATAGCTTGCCCCAGATCATCCATTCACTCACTTTCCCACAAGTATTACCGAGCACCCACTCAACACCGGGACTGGAGGTCAGTGGAGGGCTGCCTCCCTTCCCTGTTATCTCTCCCATCTTGTGGTGTCTGTGCCCCCCAGGAGAGATGGCCACAAACCCAGTACTCACAAACAGATGTATGGTTACAGCTTGGGGAAGGGAAACTTGGCTATGGCTGAGGACAGACAGCTTCTCCATGGGAGGTGTCTGCACTGAGACAGAGGATGGGCACCCATAGGGGTTGGGTAAGGCAGGGAGGAAGCACTTTTTCCACTGGGGAGCTACTTGTGCCCAGCCCAGAGCTTGTGAGGCAGGTAGCAGAACCACTGAGCTAAATCCCCTCAGCCCAGAGCTTGGAGGAGCAGGACCCACTGAAGGCACAGAGAGCCCTGGTGACCTCATGGAGACAGCAGAGGACAGGGCTGGCACAGCTGGAGGTTGCAGGGCTCACTGGTCCAACTAAGACTTGGGAAGGGCACCTGCCCAGCTTCTAGAGCCCCTTCCATGGCTCAGACAGTCCGCTGGGAGCACTGGGAGACAGTCTACTCCGCTAAGTGGAGGCCCAGCCCTGCTCACTGCCTGTCTTGCAGCTGGCACCAGGCCCAGGGCCCTAAGTCAAATGCTGGTGACCAAACAAGCTTATGTCATAGGCCAGCAACAGAGATGCCCAGTTTCCAGAGCAGCACCTCGCAGTGGCCTTTGGTGGCCAGCCTGTGTGATAGAAGCAGCATCGAGCTCACCTGGAACAGGTCCTAGTGCTTGACCCACCATCAGCTGCAAGCCACCACTGTCCTCTCACAGCTCCAACTCCTCTGCCTGAGCGGCTCCTATTGGCAGCCAGCTCTGCTAGGAGTTGGTTCTGTCCCAAGAGCCAAGAGAGGGCGCTGAAGGGCCCAGGTGGGGAGAAGGGATTTGTATTCAAGTCTCTTTGGGCTGCAGGGTTGGAGTAAGAGGGGATAGCAGGACCCAGAGGGAGGGGCAGAGGCTGGCCTGTCCCAGGCAGGCTATGGGTAGGAAGGGCCTGGCTAGTGTGTGGTGCCAGAGAGGGGCCAGGGAATGGATCCAAGAGCTTCTTGGAGCTTGGCATGGCGTGGGGCATGGGGGAAGTGCTGGTCCCAAGAAGGGGACACAGAGGCTGTATGTAGCATGGGGAGTGTGGTGTGAGTAGGTGGGGCCAGGCCCCAGCAGGAGAGGACACAGAGAAGCAGGAACCCCAGCATCAGGGCTGCGCAGAGACAGCAGTGCAGGAGCTGAACCCATACCAGCCCACTAGTGGGAAAATCTTCCAAAAGATGTCCAGGCCCTCCCCCAGAGTCTGCTTCAGCTGGGGGTGGAGCCTGGGAGCAAAGCCCTCACCACTCCCCCCTGCTGCCCGGGGCAGGAGGGCTGCCTGTTTCACCGCCCACAGCCAAGTCCAATTACTAACTGTCCTGGCTTATCTCATGGGTCCTACCAAGCCTCTCAGACAGGCTGGGCCACTTTAACTCCCTGATGAGCTCAGTTGAGGGCAAAGGGGCCCGTTACAACCAGGCCCACTGGGTGGTCTTAACCCTCCTCAGCCATGCAGGCTCAGTCTCCTGGAGGACAACTCCCATCCCACTGGTGAGCACAGGGCAGGTTCCTGGGCTCCAGGTGGGCTGAATGCCAGGAGGGCTGAGCTCTGGATTTTAAACCTGTCCTCCCCTGGGAAGCTCTGACCTAAGCAGAGGCCAGGGGTGGATGTGGGGTTTTTGTTGTGTACTTAGATTAATCTGGGAGGCTCCATGGTCCAATTTGCTAAGCAAACTGGCCTGATTCCTGGCAGTTTCCAGACCCCATCCTGGAATCACAAGGCGTAGAGCTTACAGCTTCATTCGGGGTCCTGCTGCTTAAACTCTGTGTTCCCAGCTTTCCTCGAAGCTGGGTGTGACCCCTGAACAGAGGGACTGCGCCTTTGCTTAAAAAGCAGCTCTGTTTACTGCCATTGAAACCCCCACCACCACCTTTGTTGGGAGTGTTCCTGCCTTCTACCTGGGACAAGGAAAGGGCGGAGGAAGCTCCAAGCCCTGTGGGTGTCAACTGGTGACTGGACCTATTGTTATATGCATAAGAACTGCCTTAGGTACTGGGAGGAGGGAGAGGACTTGGGGATAAAACCTGGTTCCCCATCCTAAGGTGTTCCAAGTCCAATGGGAGAGACAAAAGGGAAATAATTGCAAGGGCCAAGGTGGTGTTGAGAGCTGAAGGGACTTGTTAGGTCATTAGGTGGCGTTCCTAATGCCAAGGCTCATACAATTTCCAGGACACTAAACTGCCTCTTCATAGAGGAGACCATTTGGTTTGGGTTTTACAGGATAAGTAGGAGCGCTCCAGATGGCAAGCAGCTCGGATCCAAGAAACAGCAAGTGCAAAGGGAAATGGATGTCAGAAGGCAGCGAGCAGCTTAGTGGGGCTGGTTCCAGGCAGATTCAGGCAGCTGGAGGTAAAGGAAGAGTTTATATTTTATCTTTTAAACAAAAATGAGCCAGTAAAATATTTGCAAGAGGACAGTGACAAGATTAAACATGTGTCCCACTTCACTAGAGATCTCATGTGTTTGCTTGGTAGAAAATTTGAAAAACAGAGCAATGGGATTTCTCAGGGTCATGCTCCAACTTTCCGGCTGAGTGTGTGGCTGATGTGTTAGGGACGGCTGTGTAGGAGCTTGGCTCTCGCCTTACCCTTGGAGGGGGTCTTGTGCCAGTCTCCCAGGACCCTTGAAGTGTAATTAAGCAGATTCAGGTTTTCCAATCTGACAGATAAGGAGATAAGGTTTTAGAGGGTTTGGGGATTAGTACAGGGGCCGCCCCATGGAAAGTGGGACCTTCAACCAGCCCCAGCCAGCCAGCCTGACCCACAGAACCAGACAGGCATGACAGGCCCAGATTGTGGCACACCGCAGGGAAAGGGACAGAGTCTACCCCAGGCCGTGGTCACAGGGAAGCTGCCCAGCAGGTGTCCCTGTGGGGGCCTGTGAGTGACCAGGCATCTCTGCACCATGCTAGAGACACCTGAAGAGCTAAAATAAGGTATGTGCACTCCAGAAGTGTCCTGCAAAAGCACCAGTCCACCTTGGAAATAAACCTGCCTGCAGCCTGGCGCCCGGAGTCAAGGCCCCCACACTCTCACTTTGGAAAAATCAAACCCTCTCACCACGGACTTTCTTCTTGTCCCCCAGTACATTTTTGCTGGACAAAATTTGGGTGTGGAAGGTGGAGGCGCCTCCTCCCTCCATTCACCAACTCATTTCTGCATTCACTCAATCAAGCCCAGAGCAGGGCGCCACACCCTTCATCCAACTCTGCTGCTCTTTTGACAGCCACAAGAGCTTGAGGAACGGAATGGCCTCCCCTCTGTAGAACAGGATGGGCAGAGTTGTGACCCTGGCACAAATGCAGTCCAGACTGGGCCAGTCTGAGCCCACAGCCAGGGCATCCCGGGGCCGCATAGGTCACATAAGGACTCACTGCGGCATTGCTCAGTGGACACATGGATTCCCCTCCCTTCAGCATCCCCCAGTCACCACCTGTCTCAGTCTCCCATCCTCCTCATCCCTCCTAAAGCCTGGCACAGACCCCCATCTGCCAGGTGGAACCCAGGGCTTCGTGTAAACCAGGCAAGTGCTCTGCCACTGAGTTGCACCCCCAGCCCTTATAGAAAGAAACCGTGTGTCTCTCATCACAAAACGGAAGAAATCCATGAAGAGACGCTGAGTACCCCCAGTATCTGTCAGCCCTTCTGGCGCTACGGCGAGAGTCCTGGTTTTAAACTCAGCAGCAGATGTTGCCCAGAATCAAGGATTTTTTCCCAACTTCCCTTGCGACCAATTTTGACCATGTAGCCAAGTTCTACTAGTGACCAGAAGTATACGGAACCTCTAAAAATATCCTAACAAGGGGGTGTGCTCTTCAGCATCCCTTCCTTCTTTCCTTCTGGCTGGAATACAAGCATGACGTGGAGCACAGATAGCTATGAATACAAGATTGTGAGGAGGCAAAGCAAAAAGAAGGATCTCCGGTTCTGATGACCATGGAGCTGCTTGCCAGGCCTGGAAGGCTATGTCAGGACTGATCTGGGCCAGAAAAGAAAACCCCTCTCACTAAAGATATTGTGACTCCAGGTTTTGGATGCTTGCCACAAAGATAACCCTGGCTGAAATGCAGGTTCACTTGCAGGAGGCGTAAAGGAATGATGGGTGGCGATGGGTGCCGTGAAAATGCCATATCTGAAGCTGCTCATGGGTTTAGTTGCCCTTCAAGGCTCTGGACGTGACAGCCACTTGCAGAAAGACAGTCAGCAGGCACCAGCAGCCTGACGCAGAGTCTTCCCAGTGTGTCCTGAAGAGCTGGCTGGGAGCTGAAAGGGAAAGATGTTCTCACCTATGAGTCACTGCGTGCCTAAGTGCCAATGCCTCGACCTGGCTGTGCCGCTGCCTGGCATCACCAGCTGCACACATCACCTGTTGCGAGTGTGGCCCTCACCTCTCTATGCCTTCACAAATACTTCATACTCTCCAGCATCCCACACCACCTCATCACCTGGTCTCTTATCAAAGAAAACATCAGTCCAAGCCTGGTGTGTACCTGTGATCACAGCTACTCAGGAAGCCGAGGCAGAAGAATTGCAAATTCAGGGCCAGTCTGGGTAACTTATTGAGAATTTGCCTCCAAATAAAAAATGAAAAGGGGCTGGGGACATAGTTCAGTGCTCTATGGGTTTAATTCCTGTTACAGAAGACACGGGCTGGCGTTATTAGTTTACAGACATCTGTGGAGCACCCACTGCTGTGGTTAACCACTGGAGGCTGCCCCCTGCTGGCTGGGCCACATGGGCAGGTTACCCAGCTTTCCACTGCCTCAGTCCTTCGTATCTGTAAAATGGGGACAGTACTAGTGACTGTCCTCAAGGAATTCATGAGGGTTAGAGAGGTCATACACACCAGTGCTCCAGCACCCACAAAGCCATGGGGAGCCATGGAAAATGTCAGCTGTTGCAGGTCAGATGCGGGGTCTCCAGCCTTGAAGTCACAGGCCAGGTGAGGGGTCTCCAGCTTTGAGCCAGGCAGGGCAGGGTTCTGCTTCCATGGGGGAGGAAATAAACAAAATATGCTAATGGATTTTTGACAAGTTGTAAAACCAAGTCAATGGAAGAAAGAAAGCTTTTCAACAACTGATGCTGGAACAATTAGACATCCCTAGGCCGAAAGAAAAACAATGAAGCTCAACCCATACTTACCAAAAAAAAAAAAATCAAGCTAGGGCTGAGGGTGTAGCTCAGTGGTAAAGTGTTTGCCTAGCATACGTAAGGTCCTGGGTTTGAGCCTTAGTACCAAAAAATAAGTCAATAAATAAAATAAAGAAATTGAAGTTCAAACTGGGTATGGTGGTACATACTTGTAATCCCAGCCCTCTGGGAGGCTGAGACAGGAGGATTGCAAGTTTGAGCCCAGCCTGGGCAACTTATTAAGACCCCTTCTAACATATAAAACAAAATAAAGGGTTTGGATGTAGCTCAGTACAGAGGCCTTGGATTCAATCTCTAGTACCATGGAAAGGGAAGGGAAGGAAAGGAAAGTTAAATTGAGGCTGAGAGGGAGAAGGAGAGACTGAGACTGACATTTGCTGTGTCCTATTCTGGCCCAAAACTAGCCTCTGTGCTGCCGACGTGTTTTTACTGAGTGTTTTTACTGCTCGCTTCATCCTGGGGATTAGATGTTCTATGGAGGGAAGACAGGCTCAGAGCATCGAGGACCTTTGCTCTGGGTCACAGAGCTGTTCAGTGTCTCATCCCAAACCAAGAGCTAGGTCTTCTAAGTCCTGACACCCTCCCTGCCTCTGTGACAGAAGGCCAGAGGGGCAGGGACACCACCCACAGAGCCTCTGTGATAGAGAGGAGGAGGAAGAAGAGGAGGAGGTGGAAGGGAGATGGGGAGGAGGAGGAAAGAGAAGGAGGAAGGGGAGAAGAAGGGGGGAAAGGGGAGGGGAGGAGATGGGAGGAGGAGGTGGCGTGTGGGGAAAGCACCACAGCCCAGTACAGCGAAGTCTCTGGCGGCACTGCCAGGGCTCACCTGGCTGGCCTCAAGGGCAGGAGAGGAGGAGGAAGAAGAGGAGGAGGTGGAAGGGAGATGGGGAGGAGGAGGAAAGAGAAGGAGGAAGGGGAGAAGAAGGGGGGAAAGGGGAGGGGAGGAGATGGGAGGAGGAGGTGGCGTGTGGGGAAAGCACCACAGCCCAGTACAGCGAAGTCTCTGGCGGCACTGCCAGGGCTCACCTGGCTGGCCTCAAGGGCAGGAGGGCGTGTTCCTTCCAGGAGCCAGGAGGTGACTAAGGTTCTCCCGGTGAGGATGAGCAGGTAGGGCAAGGTCCAGTGATCCAGCCTTAAGATCATGTTTGGCTTGTTTCTCTGAAGCACATGGTCTTCGTTCCTCCCTGGAGTGTCAGCTTCCCCAGAGTCTTGCCTTGGCCGCCTGCCTTCTGAGCCCCCAAATGTGTGCCCTTTTGTACCGCTCTGTCTCTCCGAATTGCCCTTTTCAGCCCAGCAGTTCCTCCTCCCTAGCATGGCAGTCAAGGTTTCCATGCCAACCTCAGCTTCCTATTCCTGCCCTGCACAAGCTCTCTGCTAGAGCTAAATTCTTCACTGGCCATAGAACATCCTGTGACTTTCCTGCCTGTGGGCCTCTGCCTGTGACCCTCCATATCATGGGGCACTTTCGTCAAGCCATTTTTCCTGCTGTGCTCAGAGGGCAGGTGCAGAGTCGGATGAACATGGCTTCAAACCCTGACTTTGCTGACTTATGAAGCCGGAAGATATTGGGTAACTTCCTGAATCTCTCTGTGCTTGGGTTTCTTTATGTGTAAAATGCCATTCAATTCACCCATTTTCCCAGAGCTTGTACTGTGTCTCCAACAATCCCGGGATGCACAGTGGAAAGTTTATCACTGTTCTTACTTTTTAAGTGTGGTACCATTTATGAGGGTGACTTATTTTTAAACTCTTTAAGGTAATAATTACCAATGAAAGGAGACTTGGGAAGGGGGAAATAGCTCACTCCAAGCCATGAGGATGAAGGATTGGATCTGGGCCCTCACAAAGAGGAAGTACTGTTAAACTTTAGCCACTTTTACAATACTGTTCTCTCAGCTCATTTAAAGCCCCCCCCAGAAAAACCTGACACCACCTCCTGTACGATGTTAGGTGCCTTTGCTTGTATTATTTCATTCAATCATCTACTTGTCTACCACCTACCACCTACCTAAGTACCCACACACTCATTTATCCACCCACTTATGTTCATTCCCCTTACATTCATTCATCCACCTGCCCAACTATTCATCCACCTATCCATCCACCCTCATCCACCCTTCATTATCTATCTAGCTACCTATCCATTTATTTCTCCATCTACCTATCCTCCCTTCCCTCACCCCCATTCATCTACCCACCCACCCATCCATCATCCATCCGTCTATCCTCCCCTCCAACCATCCCCCACCCCTTACCCATCCATTCACCCATCCATCCCATCCGTTCAGAATCCATATATCCATCCAAAACCCATCTCTCCATTCATTTATCTGCTCACCTATCCATCCACCCATCTCATCCATTCAGCCATCTGTTCATCCCATCCATTTTTTCAGCCATCTGTTCCTCCCATCCATGCCACCCTTCCCCCCCCCACCCACCCATCCATCCATCCATAACCTAGCCTTCCATCTATCCATCCATCCACTTACCCACTGCACATCTTTCATCCCTCTATCACCCACACACTCATCCCCTCATCAGGTGCCTTACACATTGCCCTTATACCCAGATCCTCTGCCAGGCATAGGAAACTGATTAGACAGTGCTGATCCTTCATTTTATGGAGGTTTCTTGTAGATGAAAGAGGGAGAGCTGCCATCTGTTCTGGTTTGGATTTGAAGAGTCCCCAAAACTCACTCACATGCTAAATGCTTGGTTGCCATCTGATGGATTTTTGGACGTGATTGGATATTGAGGGCTTTCCAGTCATCAAAGCGTTAGTCCATCAATGAGCTCAAAGTTGGATGGTGTTATTGGGATGGAAAGATGAGGTTGGCACCGAGTTGAAGTAAGGGTCATGGGGTGTGTGACCTTGGGGACTATATCGTGTCCCTCGCCCCTTCCTTTCTGACTCTTTCTGCTTCCTGGCTGCCATGCAGTGAGCAGCATTCTTCTGCCATGCCCTTCCACCATGACATTTGTCTTCACTCCAGGCAGTTGTCAGTCAAGCATGTACGGAAACTTCTGAACCTGAGATCCAGAATAAACCTCTCCTCTTTTAAGTTGTTTTCCTCAGATATTTTGTCACAGTGCCTAAAAACTAAGGCACCATCTGAAAGTGCTCATGGCACAGCATGTGAGCTTTAAGCAGCTGTACACAGAACATGTGCTACACAGGGCAGGTGTGCAGGTGTGCAGGTGTGCAGGCTGGTGGTGTGCAGAGGAAAGCAGCCACGTTGAGACCCACAGACCGAGCAGGTAGGTGCAGGTGGAAGAAGAATGCTGCTTGTGAATGGAGGGCAGAAAGGGAGACAGTAGGAGGGAAGAGGGAGATCAGCTGGGGCAATGAGTATGATTTTTTGTTTGTCTGTTTGGTTTAGTTTTTTTGACACAGGATCTTGCTATGTAGTTCAGGCTGGCCTCAACGCAGCTAGGCTGGCCTCAAATTCATTCAATCCTCCTGCCTCAGCCTCTTGAGTGCTGAAATTACAGGTATGCCCCCACCATGTCCAGCAAGTGTGATGCTGAGAGTAGTGAGGGACTGGAGAGATGATGAAGGACCTTCAGGGTCACAAAAGGAATTTGAACTTTGTCCCATGATCTGCCTAATATAGACTCATTGACATCAAAATAGTACCTGCTACTTCAGGACAGGATGTGACTGTCCAGGGAGAGCAGGAAAGGAGAGCAGGGATTGGGACGGGGCCCTCAGCATCCCAGTGTTTAAGAGATCACAGAAAGTGAAGAACCCCAAAAGGGAGCTATAGAGTTTGGTCACAGTTGTGGCGGGGAAGAGTGGGGGGGGGTCGTGAAGGTCACGTGGTGTGAATGTCAAGTAAGAGGGTTCCATGGTCAGCTGGCCAAGGACATTGAGAGAGCCCTGCTGGGGACAAGCCAGCCTCCCTGGATTGTATTTTTACATTTCAGACACAACCTGCAAATTTCCTAAAGGTAAATGCCACAAGTGACCCTTCTTATGTGTTTGTTTGTTGATGTCACTTCCTCCCATCAGCCTGTAAACCCTCCAGACCGGGGCCTGAGTTTGTCCGCTGTGACTCCCTAGGGCCCCTATGGGGCACGTGACCTCCCATGAGCATCTGTACTCAGATATTCTCAGATATACTCAGCCCTCATGCATCTGCTCACCAACAGCCTCCATTTGCACCCGAAAGGGTCCCATTACAATACAGGAAGGAGCCAATCCCAGATGGCAGCTCTGACCCCTTCCTGTGTGCCAGGCCTGTGAACTTTCTCATAGTATCATAGGTAGATGAGCTATGTAGAAATATTATAGGCAGTCAGATAGGGCTAGGTCCTCGAGAGGGTCGGGTCAAAGGTGAAATGCACCACAGCGGCGACTGGAGACACATCAGCTGTGAACCAGGCCAGGCCTTACAATAAAGACAAGATGACCAGACCTACTTCCTTAAAGAACAAACACAGGGCCTAATGAAGTCTAGATAGACATAAGCCACCCTGGTGGGCGACCAGAGACCTCGGGACCTACCACTTCCTAGGAGAATCTTTGTTCTTTTCATCCATGCTTGTTATGTGACTTGTTTCCCCACCATTTCCTAAGTGACTGTACTTGTAACCTTATTGGACAGTCATGGCTGTGGGCCACGTTGTATCCACGTGGTTTTCACCCTATAAAACTCCTTTATAAAGTAGGATTCCCCAGGCTACCAACTCAGTCCCCTCCTACCCCTCAGGAGCTTTTCTATCAATAAATATCTTCCTACTCTTAACCTCCTTTGATCCCAGAATTCATTCTTCAATTTTTATTTTGTTATTTTCCAGTACTGGGAATCAAGCTCAAGACCTTCCGCTTCCCAGGCAGGCTCAGCACCGCTGAACTACATCCCGGGGCCAATTCTTCAATTTTTAGAGAACAAGAACTCAGCATATCCTACAGCTAACAGGTTGGGAGTTATAATATTTCATATTTCATCTCCAGTATTATTTCCTGTAACAGTGGAACTCCATAGCAACTTTCAGGTGAGTACTAAGTACTGTGCACAGTTACTGTTAGGCCTATGTGGCAGATGAAGATACCAAGGCCTGGAGAGGTCCAGCAAGTGGGGAGCCAGGATCCAGACCTCCTGTCTGTCCCCAGGGACCATGGTGCCAACAGAGCACCAGGATTCAAAATGATCACTGCCCTTTCTTGTATCAAATGGGCTCCAGGGGCCCACAGAGGCAGGTTAATTTTGGGCCAGGCCTGTGGCTTTGCTCCTGGGCTCCCCTACTGGTCTAACATGAGGCCAGCTGTGCTACCCTTCACTTCCGGAAGCCAGGTGAGGACAGGAAGCTGAGGACTGTAAACCAGAGGAACAGGAGCTCCACCCTCAGAGTCCTAGTTGGATGATTCTTGAGTAGGGGTGCAGCTGTACCCCAACAAGCTCCCCCTTTCCAGACCTGAGAGAGTCACATGCAGGTTCTGGGCAGCCTGGTCACCTGCTTCTGTTGTCACCTATGTCCAAAAGCCCTGGAGAGACATTGCCTGGCCCTTCCTCCCTTACTTGCCTATAGCAGGCAGCCTTTCTGCTTTGGATTTTTTTTTTTTTTTTTTTT